TCGACCGTTGACGGCCATTTTATGAAACTTGTCCCGAGCTGTCTCGCACCGCGCTATCGAACAGTCAATACCAATGACATTAAAATCACCTTCATTGATTAACACAGAGGTCAAATGTGCCTAAATGAGACATAGAGATCAAAGTTGTATGGTCATACATTGCAAATACCAATCCGCAGCCAATGTCCACAATCACGGGACAGCCATTTTCATGGCACAACCTTCGGATCACAGGAACCAAGTGGCTGACTTCGTAGACTTTCTTCGGCTTCATAAACAAAGTTTCTTGCTGACTCAATTTCAGGGCAATGTCATCAACTGCAGAACGCCGTTCCAGAAGGTTCAGTGCACCACAATGCTGGACGTACGTTTTCAAGAGGGGTGGTAATGAACGATGAAATAACTGAAAATAATAAGTAATAACTCGAATGATTAATCACATGATGGTTTTATAAAATCTATTAATGAAGCTTAGTATAATATATTGTCACTTCAGTGGTTGTAGACACAGAATAACAGAGAATATAATCTTTATTTTAGCTGTCGACGTTTCAGCCAAACTGCACTGACCATCATTCAGGAAAAAACTGTTTGTTCACAGGATGGCATAGTCAATGCACTTTGGCTGAAAAAGCGGCAGTTCAAACAAAGACTACCAATCGTCCGTTTCCTAGTATCTAGAACCATTAGATAAGTGGCAGTACGTAGAACAAAACAGAGAACTGAAACGAGTTTCAGAAAACTTAACGTAATTAAGACTGGTTTAACAAAAGTTGATATTGCTTGTTTCAGAATTTCTGGTAAGGTGCCAAAACTTGGATGCCACTTTTCTGCCAATATTCTTATGGATTCCTCAATAATGCAAAATCAAAGTACTCATCACATCAAAAGTTTCATCAGTAACAACAAAACATTGAGGAAGCCTGAGGTAGCTCAGTTAGGAACAAGTAAAGTTTTCAGTTATAAATTCATAACAGAGGACTCGTTGTGAATCAAAAGCAGGTCAGAGGCCTTCTCCTGCAGTAGATAACGCAAATATCAACTTACGTCAGTTTCGTCTAGGCATCCTTCGAAAAGCTGTAATACGCTGTCGAACATCATCATCCACTGAAAGATAAACATTTTATTATCATTTCAGTTAATAAACTCAGATTTTGAGAACTACATCCGGTGGCACTCGTTCCCATACGCTCTCCGTGAAGAAATCGATCCATTTGAAATCAAACACCCAACGATATTCCTGCAAGAATTTCACAGCAAGTCTGCAGTATTCGTCGGCAAGCGCTGGCTCCTCCAACTGTGCAAAATGCATATTCCGGAAATCCCTTTCGCTCATATCTGTTCGTTCAAACTTCGACTGATATACAAAAAACAAAAAAAGATAAGATCATGATAAGTCACATATATCTTCACTAACGCGACATTTCTTCGCGATGGCGAAATGCTCTACTCTATAAAAAATATAAAACGGGGGAAAGGAAACACGAGTACTCACTCCTGTAACTAATTACTGGACGATGACAATAAAAAATAGGCTAAACGGTAATTTAATGGTAAATAAAAATCAACCACATTCGAACTTAACCAACCACCATAATTTACGCAATGTGACATGCACATTTGTGTGCTACATATGGTATTAGATGTATGCACAATTAGGTTATGTGCTATAGAACAGAACTACATAAACATAATGAAAATTTATAATTTAGACATCATTACTGCATACAGTCCACATATATGAAAAGATCAGATTTAACTTCTGCAGACGATTCATAGGAAGTAACCCTGTGGATGCATATCTATACTAAAATTCACACTTCATGCGCATTGCCTCATCATCATTTTTTTCAGATCCACTGCTGAATGAAGCCTCCGGATGTCAAAAGGTTCCCGCTGAAGCTGATATATCAACATCAGCCTTTTTTTATCTACTGCTGGATGAAGGCCTCTCCAAGACTTTCTCTATAGACTTCTTTCTACTGCAATTTTCATCCTTCCTGATGCGGCGAACTTCTTCAGATAATCTCGCCATCAACGTAGAGGTTTTCCCACTGGCCGTTTATTCCCTCTTTAATTCAGTCTGATATCTCTCAGATCCAACAATAGTCGGTTTTTCTAGCAGCGTGCCCTATCCACTGCCATTTTAACTTCTTCAATAGTGCAGTGACATCTCAAACAATCTTGCTTCTGTCCTGATCCATTCATTTGTCTTATATTTTTTCTTGTTAATCCCAACATCTTCCAATACTGCATTGCTCAGGAATATCTTTCAGGCTTATGGTCAACGTTACATTCTTTAACGCTTCACCTGCATATTACCTACCGTTCCTAACTTTAGACAAGAATGATTACATATAACTATTGTACAAATATGCCGGCCGCGAAGAAAAGAATTTAGGACGTGCGGAGAGCGATAACCAGTGCCTAATAAAAGTGATTTTTCCGATATGAAAGAATGAAAATATCTTTGGGTTTCTCTGAAACTATTTTTCCACCATCCTCTCATGGCGCCTCCTAGATAATGTGCCAAGGTTTTCAGCATTGTTATAGTAGTTCTTAAGATGTAAACAAGAATTAGAAACTGAAAAAAATTTCTAAGTTTCAGGTACTTGCAAACAGGTAAAACAAATCCAAACCTAATAATAATGCTGACAAAACATACCAAAACTATTACTGTTTAGAATTTTACAGGCGTGTGCCATAATGCCTATATAGTCGGCTTCAAACTTGAATCCCGTGTGCCACGAATTTTCACAGGTAAGGAATATACCACACGCTACTTCAGACCAGAGCTGTTTGGCTAGAAAAATATCAGACTCAAAACCGACGAGTCCTGGGCTCGAACGCCGGTCAGGGTCACTCGCCTTCGTTCCTTCCTGGATTTATCAAAGAGTACTACTCTGATAAAGTACTCCCGGCTGATGACATGGGAATGAATATCAGCGTCCCCAATACAGAGTTCATAAAAACAGTGATGCTACAGTTGGTTTTATCAAGTAAAATACGGAAGACCGATATTCCAACTGTTACAAACTTTAAACCTTTTTAGTTTACGACACCGGATTGGAACGGCATAAGCACCGTCCAAATGCTTCTAGTCGCCTAGGGAACCATTTACGTAGGCCACAGCTCCATAGTATTTGAGCACGTACAATGCACGGATGCAGAATCGCATCACTAGGCAAAGCCGAACAAGGGCCCGTTAGGACACATGCAAATATGCCATGATCCGTAGGCATATTTATACACCAAAATAAAACTCGATCTAAACCTTTTTAATTTTCGACACCGGATTGAAGCGGTGTAAACACCATCCGTTTGCTTCTAGTCATTAGAGGACCATTCAAGCAAGCCACGGCTCTGTTACAAACTTTCCTTTTCCTTTCATGTTCTGCCATTTCTACGATATAGTTATACTATTACTGTTAGGGGCAGTGATAAAGAGGCCGGCTTCTGGACACAACTCTGGAAATGCCAAATTCTAATTTCAGAAAGAAAAACCTCGTAACCGCTATTCCGATTAAGCAAGGAACTCACCCCAAACTGCTTCGGTGCAACGAGCCGAGAAACAGATAGTATGTCTTGAACTAATAGCGATAACACGATGTTTCGGTACGTTCCTACTCTCATGGATGAGAGGTGCGCAATGTTGTCTAAAGCAAGCGCCTCTCAGGGCTTAATTCACTTTGACCCATCTGGCTATCCCGTGTGACAGCATAACAAGGTGCAACTACCGTTTGCTCTGGTGCAGTGGACCGGAAGAAGTTTTACTAAGTTCGGTTCGATGGAAAGACAGTCGAATACCCACCACTGTATTTGCCAAGTAAACGTAGCATCAGAAACTTTGCCCTCAATTCATGCACTGTTTGGAATTCAATTGCAGGAAATGAGCAGGTGAAAGGTGGCCAAAACTTTTCAATTGCACGTCTGGGAAATGGCTGACAGGAAGGGAAAAAGCTGACAAATGACATGAATTCATGAAATTCTATCGAACAAAGACAGGAACTTATCTTTTCTCTAAATGACGAAGTGTAGGAAAGGCTGGCTTGTTGCCTACAGTAGACAAATTGTGTGCTTATAGATAAGGCTGCCGTGGGAAATAGATCATATATAAGAGCGTGGGTTGTCAGCTACATATGATAGCCAATCAGCAAGAAACTAAGGAACTGGTCATTCGAACTAGGAAACCCTCAATTGGAAGCTGCAACCTCACGAAATACGTCTCCACCAGCTGCCACTGCAGGGGTGGCTATAAACTCCTTTTTTGTACCAAAAGTAAACCAGTGCTCTCTACTGCCGAATTACCTTTACTACTTTACGGGGCAGCCGCTATTATTGATCGACGGTTATAATCCAGTTAGTGAAAGTCGTAAACGACGATCTGTATCTCCAAAAATTATGCACGATGGTATAATTTATTAAAGTACACCGCAAAACAGTAAGTGAAAGCTCATCGCAATAAAAAAATGATATCATGCTATTCACTTTAATTATGTTTATAACTTCAAATTCCTCATAAAAAATAATTACTAAGGCAATCATAGACATCAGAAAAGGAACAAACAAATACACAAATTTACTCGTGCAAAAGAAATTCAGCTCTTTCACAAAGGTCGAGTAGTTCTACACAATAAAAATGAAGTAAAGATGCCTGTAGGCCAAGCGAAACCTTCCACCTTTCGTCTGTCAACAATCCAACCAATCTGCTTCGAACAGGGCAATGGGTCTTCTTCGTACTGCAGCGACAGAGCCATCAGTGTTCCCAATGGAAATGCTCGCCGCTCTACAGGCAGCTTCTGATACTGTAAAACAAAGAAGGCGAATACATCCATATAACTTTACTACACAAGAGATACTGCTATATACATAACAAGAACAATGAGTCTTCATCGTACGCTGAATTTCATTCTCATTTGCTGCTTGCTGTAGTCGCCATTTTCCTGCTATTTAACTTCGGCACTTGGAAAGCATCAAATGCTGTTTGAAGCTCTGTTATTATGCACTGTCATCGGTTCGTAAATGTCTGACCAGAGCAAAAACTTTCATGCTTGGTCGCACTTATATCCGCAGCAAGTTTCCAAGGTAAATTGCCTCTGGTCGACTGAATCACATAAGTAAGCCAAATCGGCAAATCGGATCCATAACTTTGGAAAAAAAGACTGGCTACAAGAATATGGTCGGGCGGGCTGATGCCCCATGTACAAGCGTATGTAGAGGTGTCGCTTTGTTGATCCAGAGTTTTTGGAATCTGAGACCAATCGGTAGGCGCCACCGATACGCGAACTGCATCCGCTGACAGCCTGATATAAAAATATTGTGTATTTCATCCGGCGCTGAACGGTTAGCTTAAAACTGGTATGGGCAGTGGATTAAATCAATCAATCAATTTCGATTACCGCTTGTCATTTTGAGTCGCGGAGGCAGACGCGTCAGACAGTGCTTCTAATCTTCTTGATCCTATGCTAGCATTTGAACTTTGAAAGAAGAAAACCGTAATGCAAAGTCATTCGACAAGTGAGTTCTGACTGTTTAATTGAAACAAAGTTTGTGACAGTCGTCAACCGGTGTTAAAAATCTACGATTTCTGCCCAGTGCGCTGAAGGCCAACGTGAAAAAATTCAATGAAGCGCGGGTAAATGGTGGAAGTAATTGCTCGGTGAAAACATCGTCAGAACAAAACATCTTCAACAATAAAATAGCCGACTGTTCGGTACCATATTCAACAAAGTGGACAATTTTTTTGAATGTACTTTTGCAGTTTTTTTTAAGATGATGATAACAGAAACATATTTGAATGCCAGTCAACTTAAACGCCAGTCACTGCTCTGGAAAGTTCATACATTCGTCATCGCAGCCGATTCATAATCCTGAAAACAGAGTTTAACAGAATGTCAGCGCAACGGCATAATGGACTAACAGTTTCATTTTCATATTAAAGATGCCGGGTTCAAATCCAATGCGTGGCATAAATGTTCTCTTATTAAATGCTAATTCCGTTAAACAAGAGATTCAGCCCAACCCAGCATAAAAACGGGTATCATGGCGTTGACCTGCGAATGACACGGACAGCATCACATCTCGGTGTGGTCATGCCGAAGCTTGCGAGACATACGGCCAAACAGTTTGATGCGCGCGCATCTTCCCACTGCAATTTGCCTTGCACATTGATAACTGAATAAACATTAACAAAAGGGGCATACGAGAATTTTTAAAAATATATACAACTGTCTGAGATGGCGGTAAGGCAGTTACAGTTCACAATATTCAAAGATTAAGCTTCAGTTATGTTAGCTTTGCTTTTAAAAACCACAAAGCATATTACATTCTGCATTTGTTACTCGTCATCAAAAAAGAAACGATAAGACAACAAATCCAAACAGACTGCTTCCGAAACAAATAAAGATCAGTCTGTTCATCCTTCTGTGCAAACAGATAATTAATCACTATGGATATAATCGATCCTAGCGCGAAACACCACCGTTTACGAAGCACTCTGTGATGTTATACCGTAAAATACCATCAAGATACGCATGTACAAATTAGATAACAGCAAAATTTGCTAAAAACAATTATATTTATATACTAATATTTACCGTATACTCTGATCCTTATCAAATTGAACAGATTTAAAACACCTGTTGCCTCTATTCTCAGCATTTTAAGCATTTTACAGTCAAATGGTATTGCAACATCGTAAAAGGAACGAACGTTTTCCTAAAGCAAACCTGCCTCTAAAATGCTCATTAAAGTTGTCCGATCTGTCAACTTTATCTGTTGTAAGGATAAGGCAGAAGATGCTTCTCAAGTGATACGATAAAGCGGCTGAGCCAGAATGTCAAAACGGCATGCTTCTTTCCCTAAATTCATAGATTTGATGATTGACTGGAGCCAACGATTAATGGCCACTTTGACTGTATTTTGCACGCACGCTAAAGTGAGGTTTAAATGCAGCACGTAGCCTAAACTTCCACTCATTTTCGTTCGATCGTTCGTTTAAGTTTCGCAGATCAAAAAATTCGGCTAGTTGTAGTTCGGTGGAAAGTGTCGAAAGGAAGAATAGCGGATCACTGACCTGTGAGTAAAAGAGATTGAAGGGTTCCTTGCATGGTCACGCCATTACTTGTGATACATGCAATAATGGTGTCTGATGCATGCACTTTCTGACTGCTATTTGCTTTGATTCTTTAGATTAATAGCTAAAATTCAGCAGAAATTTTAATGCAAATAAAAAGATAGTGATATACTTTACATGACCATGAAAATTGTCGGTCATTATAGGTAATATTCAGTGCTATAGTGAGTAGTTCACTTTTATTTTTCAAATTTGGTTACAGGCATGTCTAATCTTCTAAGATTCAACTATGACTACGTTGAACAAAACGGAAGCAGTCGAACATATCCAGAAAACGATAGGAAGTAGGCGCATCCTTCAGAAAAGACCAATAATTAGCGGGGATCATATAAAAGATCGAAAGCGCTTAGCCACCAACAGACGATAGACGGCAGTTGCCAATCAGCGGGATCATTTGAACTGTTAAAATTCGTTTTATATATTAAGTGCAAGAAACTGTCAGGTACGAAAAAGCAAAAGATTATTGAAGCGTAGATAACGGGATTGTGGAATGGAATTCGATGGTTGAACCTCACGTCATTGCATGTGCTATTCAAAAAGCTTTTTGCTGATACTCTGCCTTTCCTCCTGCAATCCCATTGCGGTTGGATTGATTCGTACAGCAACCATGATTTCGCAAAAATGCTGCTAGGTTTATTTCAATAAGAGACATTTAATAGGTAAGAAACAAATTTTCTGGTTGACGCCATAGACATAGTCGCCTGTCAGAGTGAAAAAAGCTGATTTTGAAAGGTGGCTAAGAAAAGAGAGATGATATAACTGGATTGCGTTACAAATAAGACCGTAAAAAAGTAGCTGAAACATGGGCTGAAGCGAAAGATGATTCCTGGGAAAAGTTCGGTCATGTGCGGGAAATGAATTTCCAGATTGCAAATGAAGTATTCTGCACACCACGCGTCACTTTCGACATACAAAGAAGAGCAGTTTAAACCTACTGAAGAAAATATACGGACATGTCCTTACCAAGGAATATGATATGCTTCGGAAGTAAAGGGGGTATCTTTTGGATCTTTTTACCAGAGGTCGCGTAGAGACAGTCGCCTAATTACCACTGTCATAGAGATACGAATCCTTTCGTAGATAAACTCGTAGAATTCGAAAACGGCGAAGATTTCTAACTGGTAAAACCTGCCCTCAATCGCTGAAAGTTTTAGGCGAACAAGGCACGTCGTGACTTACACGTGTCTATAAACTGTAGTAAATACTGTGAAGACCTCAGCGAATCGAAGAGTAATTTCCGTGCAACTATTCAAGATGGAAAATCACAGGAACAGTTAAAATTATTAGAATATTATTTTACTAGAACCTCCTAGGTAGAGTCCACCTGGAAATACATACAAGGATCTCAAAGATTCGGCTGATGAGTCACTGGTAATTGATACCAAGTATGAGACTTTGCCTAATGATATTCCTTGAAGAGAACGAAGAGTGAAATTATGAGTACATCCGGTTGCTCCCGCATCAACTCACTGAGAACACATGAAAAAATTTCATAATCTCTATACCACTTTCCGAATTTTCATAACTATAGTGCACATCTCTGTCAGTTGCTTGCCTAGTATTTAAATCATGTGACTTGCATACTAGAGATATTTGTGCGCTAGAGAAATCTCATGTTTTAGATTAAGCAGGTACAGTTTGCATGCCAAGTTTGAAACATGTTCGTATTATGGAGCAAATCAAACAACGCATAACTTCAACTGTGCCAACTTTCACGTTCTCAACTAGTCAATCACACTGCCACTACAAAGGACATGTGTAGAAATATACATGTATGTACATGAATTCATACTAATCCTTAGCGATTTAAGAACAGTGCAAACAGCTAACAATTTTGGCATTGAATTCCTAATATCTCCGGTGATTGCACTGGGAGAGAGAGTGAGGGATGGACTGCCCAGAGTCTGACTGATTCTTAAGCGAATTTACCACCGCCTTATGCAAGATAACTATGGAACTTTCTGTCGATTGGACGGTGGTACAAGCTCGTCAATTCGTTCTAAATTATTCATTGTAAACAATAATGTACCATTATTTCAACGCGTCTCTGCGATAATCCAATTTGAAATCAGCGCGTCGTTCTCCTTGACACTTTTTGGGAAGACACACATTTACGAATTGCAAAGATTCAAAGGCAAATCTTCACAGAGTGGTGAAAAAGTCTCTGAACATTTCTCTTCATCATCTTCCGTTACGATATCAGAATTACAATTTTTCAATTAAAAAAATATATTTGGCCATATTTTAATAACATTTTAACTACCCCTGACATTGAATTACGGAAGCACCGGCAGATATATTTCCAGAAGTTATTTTATAGGCCTTTCACATGTATACGTAATCAAACAAGCGCAAATGCATAAGAAAACAGACTGTTTACCGCGTGGAATAACGCATTTGGAATTGGAATCGCCAACGGGACGGAAGTCGCGACACCGGCATTCAAAGGGGCGTCAATGATGAAGAACAGCATTCCGACAGATTTGCATGTGGTTGATTCTCATTGGGCAATATTGGCATCACCATCCTGTGCGGGAAAAGAGTAAAAACGTGTAGCTACTCCTCGGAGATAAAACTTCATGATCCGTTTTGTTTATACGGTGCTTTATTTACCGTAAATGGTCAGAGGCGGTTGTACTGTTTCAATTCGTGCGGTCTGGTTGGACGTCGTCAGTAAGCGTACGTCATCGAAAAAGGCGG